GAACTGTCTGCGGCAAAAAAATTTGCCTATTGGAGACTTCCACTTCCGGACAACCAGCATGCATCTCAACGTGGACTCATTGTAAGTGAAGTTTGCTCTGGTTGGTGTTTTACGTATCACGGTGGATCGTTTAAGCACCAGATCGCTGTACAATCAAGTGCTAACGTACCTAAAAATGGACCAATGTGTACACCATTCTCCAGCCAACCAAGAACGCCTAAAGCATTGCATCGGCAAGGCCAAAAACGATATGAAGAACGACAAACGTTTGTGCACCGGCATCCGCGAATGTTATAGGAGGTCAGTTTGTCCGCTTCTTTTTCACTTGACTCTGTTTTGGTCTGGCGCCTCAAAGTCCGCTAAGAATATCAACATCTATTAGATTAGTGTATAGATTGGTTGCTAAACTCCTTTCATTTCTGCGCTCAAACCGTGGCTTATACTACGGGAAACAAACACAGGTCGAAGACAAAGCTATTAATGCAAAACCAGTTTTGAAGTCGCCGAAATGCTGTCAGGTTTGTCATTTATGTCGCAGCGTTACATTAACAGCAACGTTCCTCTTCCGATTTGTCCGCAAATGGTACTTCCATTAACTTGTTAAAAAATATGTATATAAATTGGCAAACATAAATAATCGCTTAGAAATAACTTCTGATCATTTACCAGTCGCTAGATTGAACGTTTCATTGTGATGGATCTTAGTTATGTGGTCATCATGAATCCAGTCTAATACATCCACGAACGCGGCCTGTCAATCTTTTGTGTGGTGTTAAGTTACGCCGAATGTAACGCAGTTCAACAATTTGCAATCTATATCTCAGGACTTATAGCATGTGTGCAAAATTGTTTTTTAAATTCGATGCAGATCAGCTCGTTATCCAAAGTTCACGTTCTATCAGAAATAAGAAAGTCCAGCACTTGCTGCAGATCAAACCGAAGTTATGAATGCGGTTTATCAAATATGAATATTTGCCGCACATGTAAATGATTATTTCTAAGCCGACAGGAAAGTGTTCTTGACTACATTCTTGTTTGATTATTTCGCTCATGAACCAATAAAAATATGACCATTATATTAATCTTTTCTTTACAATAAGTCAGCATGATAGTTCAGAATGTTTGCTCGTAATAACACATAGTCGCTGTTTCCTCACGCACTAAAAGATCTGATTGACTCTGTTTTACTTAGAAATCTTCTGCAGTCATTATAATTTACCTTCAGTGCCGAGTCATAATCAATGAATAGCCATACTTTC